TTTTCCCAGGTTTTTTGGTGGTAAAAGTAGGTGCCTTGGCTTATATTCTGGTCGGCTTATACTCGAGTATGTGTGGTATATTAAGCAGTAAGCAGGTTTTTGGCTAGACATCATTGTCAACAAAAATGAAAAGGCAGATTGCCTTAGTATTATTAAAAACTTATTTTTATTTCCTCTGAAAAAGTAATTGGGTTCCTTGGGCTTAGTGGAGCACCCTGAGGCAGATGCTGCTAAAATACAACTAAGCTTCTGTACAAAATAATTCCCATTATACAAATCTGATACAATCTGGAGAATAAATAAATAAAAGGTAAAAAATTATATAAATTCACTTTGTCATGCTTAGCACCCCAAAATATCTATAAATAGAGAAATAACCATCTTAATACCGTGAACAGTGTATGTTTCTCAGAACAGTATTTTTAGACCTATTTTACATTATGATTGTGTTTACACTAAAAAAAATTAATCAATACCCTTATAATGTGTGTAATGCATTATATTATAGTATCTTCTACTTTATTATTTCAATTAAATATTGGTTCTGATCCCTTCACTGACTTCACAATTCATCATTTGATTGCTGCCTGTACTTTGAAATATGCTTGCCTCATCTGGGCATGAATTGAGACACAAATCTCTTGTTCTCTAAGTTCTTGATTCCTGTATAATAAATGGTATGAGCATTGTGATACACTGAATATATTTTTAGTTGTTAGCTGGATTTAAATATCAAACAGGTCTTTTTTATTTTTACATTATACATCACTATGTGTTATACATTGATCTTCAAGATTGCATTTATATAACCATGCAGACTATTTGTAATGGGTACTTACTTTCAAGAGTAATTTTTTATATATGTAATATATGCTGACTTTGGAATTTAACTTTTGTTTGTGCTATGACTCTATAACTTTTTTAGCTTTGTTATTCACAACAGAGTCAAAAAATAATTCTGAAATATCTTCTTTTAGGTTAATTACCATGCTCACAACTATCACCTCACTCCATTTACAGTCATCAATATTATGTACAGTTTCAACAAAACTCAGGTAAGAGTAGTGTAGAGATTACATTAAAGTTATATTTTAATGTCTTCTGGACTTAGTAATAGAGCAAGAATAATTACTTAAATAAAATAACTTAACTCTTGTTCTAAATATAATGTAGCCTATGACATTCTGTGAATCTTCCCAAATTATATTTAGTTTGTTTGCTGAAAATTGCAACGCCTAGGTCTACTAGGCTTTGAGAGCAAAGCAAACAGGTAAGATTATCTGTCTGCTGTGAAGAGGCTTAAAAGTTAATCCTGGAGACAAAACCTGAAACAGAAAATTATGGTTCAATAAGATAAATACAAGTTATTAAAGTATAGGGAGTGACACCTTCCAAAACCACAATTAGGCACAGAGTGTGATTAGGAAAAAAACAATGGGAAGATGGGACACAAGCTATTTCCTTGTCGAGGAGGGCATCTTCCCATGATGAAGGTAGAGAAAGGTGTTTGTAGGAGAGAGTACAAGAGAGCGTTAAGTTCTAAAAATTAGGATTGGCATGCAATGAAATCCTGTGGTTGAATGTAGAGCCATGAAACTAGAAAAGGAAGTGAGATCCAGATTGTAAAGGGCATTCTAAAAACTTCACAATTGATCTTAAAAACTGAGAAAGTCCTCTGGGATTTTTATTTTAGCAGTGATCAAGTGTCTTGAAAAAGTTGGGTTGATTGTCAATATCTATCAAAATTTAAATTGTATGCATCCTTTGGTAAGGAGCCCTTGTGGTATTGTGGTTCCTCATTAGGCAGCTAACCTCAAGGCAGCAGTTCAAATTTATCAGTCACTCCGTGGTGAAAGAAGAGGTTTTTCTACTCCCATAGAGTTACAGTCTTGGAAACCTACACAGGCAGGCCTACCCTGCCCGGTATGGTTGCTATGAGTTGGACTCGCTGGCAGTGAATTTGTTTGTTATTTGAGTATCCTTTGGTTTATTCATTCTACTAGGGAACTCATTCTCATAGGTGTGGGTATGTGTGTGTGTGCATAGAAAGCTTAGACTATGTAGCTAGCTTAGAAATATGAATTCGGAAGATATTATTGTGGTGGTGTTTATAATAATAAAATTGAAGATAAATTAATGTTCATTAGTAGGGTATTTGGAAAATAAATTACAGTATGATTATATAGTGAAACTCCATGTAGATGTTAAAAATAGGAAGCTAACTTGGTTTTCTGATATGGCATGATATCTGGGATATTTGTTATGGTTCATGATAGTGCATATCCTGTTAAATAGCCACCACTTGTAAAACATGAACAAAAACCTGTATCTGCCCATAGACACAGAGATAAACTTGTAAACATGGGGACTATCTCGGGAAGATAAAGGATAAACTGCTCTTAGAGGACTGGAGTGTGAAGGAGACAGTTTTTTCTCTTGAAACCCTTTTGTGATGTTATTGGTTGAAAGCACATAGAGAAGAATAGGCATAGCACTAATGAGACTGGAGAGGGGGCATGCCTACAGACAGTGAGACTGTTGTCAGATTGGTGTAAAGTGATTTAAAAATGAGGAAAAGGATGGGTTTTAAGATATTTAGGGAGTATAAGATG